CACACAACAATACAAACAACCAAATAAAATACTTCCATTATCCTGTATCTGGCCTCCTTATTACTTCTTATAAACTGTTTCCTTTATGAATAGTTACCGTATTAAGATTTTTCTAATTATAAGTTAAATATCCACAAAGTCTCCTGCAGACATCAATCGAAACAAGTCCAGGTATGTATTTTAGGGCACTGTTTTGTGAAGTATTCTCTGCATTTCCCCCATGCTTTTTGAAACTCTTGTCTAGTGTGATCTCTAATTGCCTCTGTTAATCTAGCCAGTTCAATATACTCTAACAGTTTATCTTGCCATTCCTTTTTTGTTGGCACAGTTTCTTTCCCCCCAGTTTTTAGCAATTAGCTAAAAAATGTTAATTGATAAGGGATCTCATCAGGATCTCAAAGAAGGAGATAGGTTGCAGAAGCTGCAGTAAGACAATGGTGCTCTCCAGGAAGAGAGGTGGGGCTTTTCCCCACTCCCCTCGCCTGGACTGATGACACATTACCTTTGGTGGAGAACAATAGCTGAAACCTGGGCTGGGTAGGAGAGTTGTTGCAGGTGTGAGCTGAAAACTGGATGCTAGGAGCTGGAGACAGACACATGTCTTGCTCTCTTCTGAGCATAAGGTGCATCTGTGGCTATCTAATGAAGAAGCAAGATAATCTGGGGTGTGAATGCTGTGAGCTGCTCCACCCAATGCTCAGGTTGTTTATGTGTGTAGATGAAACCATACACCGTATATCTTAAAGACACCACAGTCTCCATTGACCTCCATACCCAGGAAATTGAACCCTGGGGAAAGTGTGGGCCTTTTGGAATTTCTCACCACTCAGAGACTGGGCTGGTGTGTAACAATATTATGTTCATACTTTTGCAGAAAGCACACAGAGACACTTTTACAAAAACTACACTTAAGCTACCTGCAGTTCGTTGGAAGGAAAAGCAGAAGTGCAGAACCATGATACAGATTGAGTCCCAGGGCTAATTTCCAAGCAAAAGCATCTCTCCTGGCCTGCTATTTCCCCATAAAGGTGCTGTTTACAGTAAACGGCAGGACCATGCAGAGGGGAGCCAGGTACACTTGCCCCAGGCTCCCTCCCCCCCCCCCCCGGACAGGCTGCTTTTTTTGTTTGAGTTTATAACTTTATTCTAACAAGACTCTTACCCTGAGCCTCAGACGAGCTTTGCACGGGCCTGGTAAACAACACCTTAATGGGTAAATACTAGTAATTGGGGCAGGGAAATGTTTTAAGTAGGAAACTGCCCAGAGCTTCCTATGCATTGTGATGGACAGAAAACTTGCTTTAAAAGAATAAGCTGTTACTGTACCAGTGTAACTGTGTATGTTTTGATGTCTTTGTTAACTTTGTTAACTTATTTCTCTACAGGGAAGTTGCTAGTCTGCTGTTTGTAGAATCAAAAAATTGTAGTGTTGGGAGTGATCCCGAGGGTCTTCTAGTCAGATCCCCAGCAATTCAAAAATCTCAACCAGATCATACATGACAGATGGCCATCCAACATGTTGTTAGAGAGAAGCAGTGTTGTGAGTTTGGGGAGTTAATCTGTATGGTGCCTGAACCCCTTCTAATTCCCGGAGTCCTGGATCCAGCAAGGGTTAAAATCTAATGGAGGATTCTGTTGTTTAACTAGTGGGAAATTTCTTTGTGAGAGAATAGTGATAGTTCCCACCAAAGGACCTAAGGGCATTAGTATAACAAAATAAGTGATGATGCCCTTACCTGGCTTGTACTTAAAAGGGCAATAACTACTGCAGTTGTGTGTGAGCTGAGCTAGAAGCAGGCAGCAGCTAGAGATACAGCCATGCTTAATTTCTGCTTGATTCAAAGGCTGTGACTATGAGAGAAGCAATATTTTTAGGGGTATTAAGGCTGTGAGCCCTTCCATTTTCACTGTCCCTCATTCCAAAGAAACCAAACCCTGGGCAAGCACCTGGAACCCCTGGAATCTCCCACCACTCATAGATTGGGGTGGTGTGCAACAGTGGTGTTAGAACTGGGATTCGTGCTTCCTGGAGGAGGACCTGTGAGCGAGGTGTGCCTGAGCTGACCTGGAGGAAGAAAAGGCAACACTCCTGGAACAATTCAGATGGATGCTCCAGCAGCAAAGCGTGCAGCTCTTGGAACAACAGAGCCAGCAATCTAAGATGTTTGAACAGCAGTTGAATGCTATGTACCAATGAATGGAGCAGCAGTACAAGCAGTTGGATGGCAAGCAGAGTTTGAGTGGCAAGTAGAGAAGTCTAAGACCATCCTTGGAAAGAAAAAGGAGATCCCATGTGAGGAAGTGGGGGCCATGCCTTATCAGATACTACAAGGGGTTGAGGGTTCTCCAGAAGTCCAGCTTCAGAACACCCAGGCTGAAGAGATCCAGGAAATGGATGAGCAGCTGAGAGGCTTGGGCTCCAAAGAGAAGCAGTTGGTAGCTGAAGCAAAGGAGGAAGACAGCTCTTTAGAGAAGAGTGAGAAGGCTGGGACTGAGGTCCAGCTGCTAATTGATTCAACCACTCCTTGGGTATCAACAGCGGAAGATGAAAGGCCAGCGAGGGAAGGAGAAAGTGTTGCAGAGAAGGGTGAGAAGGCTGAAAGTGAAGAGATGCTGCTGATAGACTTCCTCATTCCATGGGTGCCAGAGGTGTAGGAGAGGTGCACGAGGCAGACATGCATGGCCAAGAGCAGGGGTCAGCAACCTTTTCCAGCCGTGGGCCAGTCCACCGTCCCTCAGAAAATGTGGTGGGCTGGACTATATTTTGAAGGGAAAAAATGAACCAATTCCTATGCCCCACAAATAACCCAGAGGTGCATTTTAAATAAAAGGACACATTCTACTCAGGTAAAAACACGCTGATTCCCGGACTGTCCGTGGGCCAGATTGAGAAGGCGATTGGGCCGCATCTAGCCCCCGGGCCTTAGGTTTCCTACCCCTGGCCAAGAGCAACCAGGACTTTTCCCCCCAGCCAGAACTCACCAGAACTCAGTTCCGGCACCTCTCAGGTGGGCACCATTGCTATGATAAGAGAACAAGGGAGGCGTTCATGTTGAGTTCCGGCACCTCTTTTTCCAGAAAAATAGCACTGAGAGCAACTGGTGCCTGTGGAGAGCTTTTATTTCATAAAATAAATCACTGCTTGATTGTAAAAGAAAATCTCAAAGTGGTTTACAAAAAGATTAAAGTATTTTATACATGTTTAAACTAAAGGTCAATATTTACATACAATACCAGTCCATAAGATGGGGGGGGGAGAGAAACTGCTCCTTGTTGTCACAGAACAAATTCTTAGCTAATAAAAGTTCTACAAATCACACACCTGGTAGCCAAATTTGCTCTGGCAGCTATGTAGCTCCATTTCAGCTATGTTAATGCTTTCTAATTTTAAAACTATGCTGTAAAAATTTTATGCTGTAAACTTTTAGAGGTTATGTGGTGTAATTTCAGAGGAAAGCTTTGCTTTTCCTCTCTGTTGTTCATGGTAAAGGCCTTTACACAATACTTTCATTGATTGATTGATTGTTGAATTTCTTTTGTGATCAATCAATCAAACGGAAACCAGATAACTGAGAATTATGTTTTAGATTCAACCCCTCAAAGTTGCCTATTATGTTCTGTGACTTTTTCTACTAATGACCATGTCTTATTCCATCATCCCTTTAGAGTGAAATGGGAATGGAATCTCCAGTGATGGACCAACTCCAGACTTGCCATTGTGACTAGGTGGATAATTTGGTTTTTGTTTTGTGTGACACTTTTTGCATGGTTTCTGGAAAGTGTGATAGCACTGCTAGACCTGGGTCACTCCGGAGGAAGAAGTTATTGCGCTATGGAAGGAATAGTTTGGAAAACATTTGCGCCAATGTCTTGTGCAACTGAGCATTGCCACCACATGTAATAATAATCCTTCCATCGTGTGCATCCTCTCCAGCAGATAGCTGGTAAGCTCTCATTAAAGTTTGGCCAAAGTAGAAGACAGCTGCATGCCACACCAATCTCCAAACGATGAAGAGATTCCAGGCACTTGTAAAGCAACATGCTATTCCCGCCCCCCTCATGGGCTGCCAACAAAGCAAGAAAGCTATGGCCATTATCTTGCAAAGGAACTTGTCTGACGAGTTCAGCAATGCGTGGTCTGACAGAGTAGGACAACACCACCTGAAGATGAAGCATTTCCATAACTTTCTTTTCTTTTTGCATTGTACTTGCATGCAAACAGCAAAAATTACACCGAAACAAGTATGATTAAGTACTTTTTTTCACAGCAGGCAGCTCTTTTTGGTCCTGAACTCTGAACAATGACAACATACCCTCCAACATTTCCCCCTATTATTTAAACCCCACCCATCTCACTTGCCCCAGACACTCTGGACAGATTCCAACATATATATAAAAACATGATAAAACACTTAAAAAACAAAAAAAAACTTCCCTATCCAGGACTGCCTTCAGATGTCTTCTAAAGATTGTAGAGTTACTTATCTCCTTTGCTCAGGGGGTCTGAGAATTCCATACCCTCCAGCGTTTCTCAAATGATGATAGGGACGTCCTAAGAAAAAGCGGGACATTCTGGGATCAAAACAGGATGGCTTTTGTAAATCTAGGGCAGTTCCTGGAAAACAGGGGCGCTTGGGGGGTCTGTGGCAACAGTGCCACTGAAGAGGCGAGAGACTGGGGAAGAGGTGTCTGCTGGATATATTTCCCACTGGACCGCAGGGCTGCCCTGAAGCTGGAAAACAGTGTTTTGTTTAACCGTCCGCCACGAGAGACCTAAACAAGCGCGGCGCCCTTGCTGCCCTTTCCTCGGCTCCCCTTCCCGCCCAACCGGCCCGAGGAGCGGAGTCCGGGCTCCTGGCAGCCGCTTCCCTCAGGTGGGCGCTCGCTCCGCCTCCCGCCCTCCACCTGTCCTGCCTGCCGCGGCCGGGAGGCGGAGGAGAGGAAGGGCCTGTCCCCCAGCGTCACGTGCGGGCGTGTGTACGGCGGCGGCGGCGGAGAGGAGTCAGTGACTCACGGCTTCCTGCGGCCAATCCCACGGGCGGGTTCCGAGGCCGGCCCGGAGGGCGGGCGCAAGGCTGGGCCGCGCCACGCGGGGCGGCACACTGGCAGCCGCTTCCTTTTTCTAGCGCACTCGCTCGTCGGCTGCTGCTGCTGCGGGCGCGAAAGGGAGCCCGGCTCGCTGAAGGGGGTAAGTGAGGCTCTCGTCGCTCCGCGCCTCCCTTCTCCCGCGCGCTTACCCCGGGGAGGAAAGGCCTGTTGAACTCGGGGAGGAGGCGGCGCGCTCTCCGCCCCGGACCCTCCACTTCCTCGCGAGCGACTTAGGCTTGGAGAGGATGGAGCCGAGGAAGGGACTCTCTGGTGGGGACTGAGGGGTCTTTGAGCGGGGGAAGAGGGCAGTTGAGGAGGAGGGAGTGTGCGCTCCCTTAACGCACCAGCAGTAAGAAGTGCGGTGTGGAGATTTCACTCCGGGACACGGCGGGCAAGGGCTGCTGGGGCTGGTCGTCGTCGTCGTCGTCATAATAGAAATAGTCATAACAATAGAGGTCAGAGTAGGGCATCCTCCTCTCACCGCTGCAGTTCCACTGATAACCTGCTTCTAAATCCCCTCAAAAACAAAACACCAAATAGAAACCTTGCTTGAAGAAGAGCATGGTTCGCTGCGGGGAGTTTCTGGTCTGGCTCACCCTGATCTAATGGTTCTTCCTTCTTTTGAACTAAAGCGATGGCTTGGCTGGTGGAGGACTTGATGTGTTGTGACAGATCGGGGTTGTTTGTGTGTGTGGGGGGGGGCTCTTTTGGGGAGGGCGGGGGACGGCGCGATTCCCTCACCCATCCAGGCTATTTGCATGCGAAGCGCCCGCTCCCCCCTCCCACGAAGAGCAGCTCCGGCCCCACCTGGGCATAACCCGAGCGCTCTGGGTGGGTGGGCTTTCCTTGGGATCCTTTGAACCGCGGGCACTTTTTCCAGTGGTCCTTGTTGCCGCTCTCGACGTCGCCGCCGAGGGACCGGCGCGGACACGTGGGAAGCGCTGCTCTGGTCGGATTAAGGAGGCAGCGGCTCGAGGCCCAAGGGAAGGGAAGCCAAGGTGTTTCCCGGCCTGACCTACAAAACGGAAGCGGCCTCGGAGCTGCCCTGCCTGTCTTATTCGCTCGCTTGTGGTTTTGCCCGGCCCGGAGGCGGCGAAAGATAGGGATATCGGCGCGGTTTGTTTGCTGGCGGAACCCTACTGGGCTCTCGAGCCTCTGTTGAACTTGCAAATCGCGAGTGCTCTCCTCCACCTCTGCGCCGCCTTCCTTCCTGCAAGTGGTGTCCGTGGATGCGCTTGGCCCTTCGGGAGGAGTCCCAATGCTTTTAGGAGGCTGTGTGCCTGCTGATCAAAGGCAGCCTCCATCCGTAGTTGGCACCTGAGAGACGACTGCAGTCTTCCCTTCCAGGCTGTTGCAATGGGCTGGCATGAGTCGCAACTTGTATGGACAAGTTAGCGCCGAGGATGGAAAACAGGCGATGGGACATCATTTTTCTGCGTTGAGCAAGTGATGGCAATCTGCTGGGAATTGGGTGGTTCTCAGCTGGGTGTCTCCACACCCCTGAAGGGTGTAGGAAGGGGTTTATTCACGCTTGGATAATGCAACTGGAATGGGGTGACTGGATTAAGCATAATTTGCCTTTTGCAAAACGCACTTCGCTCGAGACCTCTCTCCTGTGTGCCTGTCTTTGCGGTGGCTGCTGGAGAAATCCACCTACTACCAAGGGTTAAGTTTCGGCTCCTTCCCAAGACTCCACCCACCGTGATTAAAAGAGCCTGAAAGCCCGTGAAGACTGGCAGTAACTCTTAACTATTTGATATTAACTGATATGGCCTGACACACCGAATTGGCAGAGTGCGAACGCTCATTAATGAGAGGAGCTTGGGAAAAATTCCACGCTTGCATTTGTCAAACAGTATTTGCAGAAAAAAACATTTGGCCAGCTCTGAACCCAGCCCAGTCGCCAGAAGTATGAATGAATTACTTCTCTTGCAGCAATAGGAATAATAAAACAGTTTGCTAAGTCCTGTTTCTCCAGCTGCTGTTTTTCTTTCCATCCTTTATTAACAACTCTCCTGCAGTAAAAGATGGTGCAAGCCATTTTCAAAATCCAACCAGAGTGTTTCCCAAGTTATTTTCTCCCCAGTCCTTTCTTCTAGTTTTACATTTAGATTATCTGATCTCCCTCTGCCTCCAAAAACTTTGCATTCCAGTGGTCTGTGGAGCTGTAAAAGCTGGGTTCACATTTCTGATCAGCCATGAATTTGACTGGCCTCTCGCCCCGCAAAATAGGAAAAGCCACAAAAGTGATCAGTCTCATGGAGGTGCTATTGGGATGCACTTGATTATGCTGTAGGTCTACGTGCCCAAGGTGCATTTTTACAAAGTGCACACCAGCAATCTTAGATTTGCCACAGGGAATTGCAGTGAATTCAGGCTCTATAATAATGCCAGTACCATACAAAGGTTCTTCACGTGCCTGCTGCATTCACAACTTAAAAATGCATATATGACAAAAATGCATGACAAGGCCCTAAGCGGCGTGTAGGATTCAAAGGTCTAAATGGATTATTCTGGCAATCAGTCTGGCTAATTGCTACATTTAGGATTGGGGAGGTGTTTTCCTCCCAGAGGGCAACCTAATTTGGGAAAGATGCTAGGTAATTACTGTTGCCTGTAGCATGTGGCTTGACTTGTTCATGGTACTTGACGTGCTCTGTTAGGTACCTTTTGTATGGCCAGCATCGTATTGGCGTTGTGTGTGTCAATCTGGGAGGTGGCTGATATGTCATTGAGGTGGATAGGTGGACCAGATGGATACAGTATCTCCTATAATGCTTCTATTAAACTCACTGATTGAGGAAGGGAGGAAGCAGGTTAAACCATGGGTTTCACAACCATATCTTATTGCCACAGGGCTGGAAAGGATACATTATTTGGCATGCTTATATTGGTAACTATTAGCTACTGTTTCCCCATCTGTTTTATGCTTTCAGTGTGACAGGCATATGTTCAGAAGGTTTAGTTCAACTTTCCAAGGATAGGCAAAAACTGACCTGTTGAACTTCTGCCTCTTACTGCTGTCAAATGCATGGCCTCTGCTATCTCCCCTCACCTCCCACAAGTTCTCTAACCATCTCAGCCCTGAACCCTTCACCTTGGAAGAGAGGGTTATCTTGTTTATGCTTCTTGCCATGCCTGTGGTATATAGGTTTTATTAAAAAAAAACCAGAAACAGACCACATGGTTTGCCAATGTCTTTAAGTGAAGGGCTGTGCAACATTGGCTAGTATTTGTATAGACATGACCTTGTGTATTAAGGGATGTAGATGGTTTGGAATATTTACCAATATTTATTTCAGATGATTTATGAAAGACCTTGGTATGTATACAGCTCTGGGATGGAATGCTTCCTGAAAGAGTTTTCCTTGTAACCTCCCTGTTGGATCACTGCAGTGGGGCTATCCCTTGAAGACTGCTTGGAACAGGCATCCCCAACCTGCAGCCCTCCAGATGTTTTGGCCTACAACTCCCATGATCCCTAGCTAACAGGACCAGTGGTCAGGGATGATGGGAATTGTAGTCCAAAACATCTGGAGGGCCGAAGGTTGAGGATGCCTGGCTTAGAAGCTTCAATTAGTACAGGATATTGCTGCCAGGATTTAGACTGTGACCTGGTTCGCCCATATCATGCCAATTCTAAAGCAATAAAACACACAGGATTTAAATATGCATTTCAAGTAATGTACTATTTCTTTATTACTGAAGTATTTATAAATGACATTTTCATAAAAAATATTACAAAGTACAATGCTGTCATAAAAGCAAGAATGCCAGACATCAGGAAAAGCTGGTTAGCAAAGAATCTCAGGTTTAAAAGGCCTGCCTGAATTACACAGTTTTTGACCTTCAGAGATGCTTGCATACATCACCTTTATTTACAACATGGAATAAAGGTGGTATAGAAATGTAAAAGGATTAGTTCAATTCATTTATTAGCTAGCCCATTCAAGTAATTCGCGTTGACACTGAGCCTAGGGAAAGAACATTTTGCTGCCTGGTCTAGTCCTGCTTTTTGTGGGGGTGTAAATGGGGAGTCTGGATATGTGGTTTTAAGGAGAAGTGGAAGCTAGCAGGTGCATCCGAGTCTATTCTTGCATTGACAGCAATTGTTTGTGTGCAAGCAGTGTTTAGCTTTAGTACTCTTTAGTTGGCTGCCCACTTGGGAATTAGTCCTACTGAAATAAGTAGAGCTTACGTCTGAGCAAATGTGCCTAGGTCCAGGCTGTTACCTGGTGTGAAAACTGAGATCTTGGAATGAATGCTTTTAACTACCTTATAGGGTGCGGCAGAGCATTGTCTTTGGTGCTATTTAATGAAGCCACTGAGAGTGGTCATTAGGAGTTTTGGGACAAGTTACCATCACTACGCTAATGACACTGAGTTCTATTCTTCCATAACAACTGAACCAGGAGAGGCCATGCAAGGCTCTGCACCAGTGCCTGGATGCAGTGGTGAGCAATATTAAAAACTCAGGTACATCAGCTAGGTGCCAAATGGCTCCTTAAATCAATGCTACAGTCACCAAAGCGGAATGTCTAGTTGCCATTTTGGGGCCAGACAGCTCAAATGCCATATTTTTCAACATGACTTTTTGGTTCCTGAAATTCATTCTGATTGCCTAGATAAAATATCGCAGACAGAAATCTACAGGATGTGTTGTTAGTGTGTGAAAACAGGCAAGAGCCAAGGATCCCCAGGCATGCAGATGGTGGAGACATCAGATGCCATCCTGGTGCCTGGGCATCTTCACTTTGTTGCAAGTAGCCAAGAGCCAGGTGGTCCCCGTATCTGAAAAAAATGGTCACTTCCCTATGCTGAATGGAGTCACACTCCCCCCTAATGGAGCAACTTTGCAGGCTGGATCCAGCTTTGTCAAGGAAGCTCAGGTACCCTCAGTGGCTAGAAGCTGCAACTGGTACCATAGCTCAGACTTTTGCTGGACTGTGAAAACTTGACTGCAGTTCTTGCATTGGTTACTTTAGCATCCTATTACTGCAATGTGCTCTATGTAGGGCTTCCCTTGTACTTGATCTGGAAGCTGCATTTCGTGCAGACTGCTGTTGCTGATAAACGTGAGAGCCATCAATTAGCATCTGT